GCTCTGCCCCGGGCTTCCTGGAATTAGCTGCTGATCAGTTTCAGCAGCAGCTGACTTGGGGGCGCCTGGGGTTCTTAAGTTGAATCTGTATGTAAGTCAGAACTGGTGTCCAGATTCAGCGGCTGAATCTGGATGCCAGTTCCGACTTACATACAGATTCAACTTAAGAACAAACCTACAGTCCCTATCTTGTACGTAACCCGGGGACTGCCTGTAGTTGATCACAATTTCAATGAGTCACCAGTATGAGGTAGTAGCAAAAAAAAGGCTAATATTTTTAGATGTATTAAGAGGAGTTAATAAGACATAGGAGGTTAATTGTTCCACCTCTACTTGGCACTGATGAGGTCTCACCTGTAATATTGTGTTTGAGCACCACACATGAGGAAAGACAAATAGGAGAGAATCTAGAGAGTAATAAGCAGGATAATACGTCTAGAAAATCTACCATATAAGGAAAGGTTTAAAACCTGGGCATGTTTAGACTTGAGAAAAGAAGACCAAGAGGGCACTTGATAACAATCTTCTAATATATGTTCAGATCTGTCTTGAAGAGGATGTGATCCATTGTTCTCCATGTCCACTGAAAATAGGACAAGAACTCCTGGCTTGATGTTCAGCAAGGGAGATTTAGGTTAGATATTAGGAACATCTTTCTGACTATAAGGATAATTAAGCCCTGGAATGGAGTCTGTGGGATTCCCATCAATGGAGGACGAGAGAGACTAACACCTGTCAGAGATGGTCTAAGTTTGTTTGGTACTGTCTCGGTGCGGCGAGGTGGCTTAGATGACCTCTTGAGGTTCCTTCCAGCCCTACATTTCTATGAATCCATAAGTGTTCTCCTCCTTCGCCTCCCACAAGTGCTGGATCCAGTGAGCAGAATTTTCTCTTCAAAGGTTTGCCAGCCAGTCAGAGCCAGTTACCCAGTGTTCTGAATGCCTGGCACCATTTCCACGTGGCATATAAATAGTGCATTAATGTTTCACAGTGTCACGTGTATCTGGCAGGTTTCCAATAGATGGTTGCTCCCAAAACTCAGGATTGTCTCACAATGTTTTTGTTTTGTGAGAGTGTGACTGCCCATAAACTACAGGACAGGCAGAAATATGCCTTGGTTTCACTATTTCTGTACTTCCAAGGTCTGGTTACGTGTGAGATGATGTTGAGGCTCCTCTGAAGCCAGCTGAGTGCATTTCCAGCAAGTGTCTTGTGACCAGTTAAGTCATGCATTGAAATCAACACGTCCAGTGACATTGCTTCATTGATGCATAGCCTCGTGGCCAGCTTGTGCTAGTCCAGCCTATTGCTAGGCAGAAGAGGAAATCATAAACCCCCTGTTTGGATGGATAACTAGCTGCTAGATTAGCCCCCAGTTACCAGTGGTAAATTGCTAGTTAAAACAGTGGGAATTTTTAGACTCCCCCAAATATCATTTCTCTTTTCCTTGACACAGGACCTGTCATGTCACCCTTTCTTCGGATTGGTTTATCAAACTATGACAGCGGCCCCTATCTGCCATCACAAGGGGAAGTGATTAATCCTTACTGTGCCGTGGTAGTCAAAGAAGCCGAGGAATCAGGTAAGCATGTACATGCTAAGACATATATGTTATATGGCTGTTATAGCTGCTTGCCTCTCTGCATTTCTGCTTGTATGCACGGCATGTTTTGAGATCCATATATGGATTCCTAGAATACAAAAACAATCGTATTCTGTAGAATTATTCCCCCATGGTGCACAGGGGCTTTCAAGAAGGGATGTTAAAATGCATTTATTTATGTAAACGTGTAGCTGCTGAAAATTGCAGTCCAGAAAAGTCCTCATCGCTACTATGCGTTCATAGATGCTACAAGAACAGATCCCAGCATGCATTGCTCCAGAATTAGCTAACCTGAGTCACATGCTTTCATTTGTATTCAGATTAGGTGCAGATTAACAATAGACCCCCTGTGTGTCTCTGAGATACACCAGGATCACTTAAAATGGTCGTTTCCTTTTTAGAGATACAGCCTGGTGCTGCCATGTCTCTGTTTGAAAAAGCCTGGGAAATATCTCTCAACCCGGCTGAATCGTTCAAAACTGAATATAGAATCATAGAACACTAGGTCTCCATTTTCAGGTGAGGATCTCCCTGGCTTCCTGTTAGAAGTGCTTTAGAATCAATGGTGCAACATGGCCTATGGTGAGGCATTGTTCAGGATAGGCCAGGAGAGCACAGCTGTGAGTAGCTCTGTGTTTGTCATGGAGATCATTGAATCATAGAACACTGGAACTGGAAGGGACCTCATGAGGTCATCAAGTCCAATCTCTTGCCCTCATGGCAGGACCAAGCATCATCTAGATCATCCCTGATAGATGTCTATCCAACCTGCTCTTAAATATCTCCAGTGATGGAGATTCCACAACCTCCCTGGGCAATTTATTCCAGTATTTAACTACCCTGACAATTAGGAAGCTTTTCCTAATGTCCAACCTAAACCTCCCTTGATGCAGTGTAAGCTCATTGCTTCTTGTTCTATCCTCAGAGACCAATAAGAACAATTTGTCTCCCTCCTTCCTGTATCACTCTTTTAAAATACTAGAAAACCGCTATCGTTCCCTCTCCATCACCTCTTTTCTAAACTAAACAAGCCCAAGTCTTCCCTCATTGTTCGTGTTTTCTAGACGTTGAACCATTTTTGTTGCTCTTCTCTGAATCTTCTCCAATTTCTCCACATCTTTCTTGAAATATGGTGCTCAGAACTGGACACAGTACTCCTAAATGAATGAACTACTCAGGGTGACAACTCCCCAGTATATGATATATATTTTTGGGGAGAAGGAGTTATTCTTAGGGATGAAGAGCAAAACTATATAGTAGCCAGTTTTCCAATTCCAAATGCACACTTGTTACAGTTTTGATAGTGGAATGACTTAGAGATGCCCTAGTCCTGGAACCATGTTCATACATGTCTTTAAGTATGAGAACAATCCGAATGAGCTTAGTCACATTTGTGAAGTTACTCTCACCCATAAGTATCTGCAAAATTGGGTCATAATTATTGTCAAAGTCCTTGTATTTACTGTTGCGTTTGACCATTTCTTAATCATTAGACCAATTACTGACCACTGCCTACCAGTGTTCCCTCTAATTTTTTCCATCCATGTGCAGAATAAACATTATAATGTGCACTGAGGCATGTGTGAATGTGCACCACCAGTAGAAACACATGCTGCTGGTTGCTGCCAGGTGTGGGTGCACTGCTAATCAACTAAGTGGCATTTGAATCTCTTCTGGGTGGTGGACCAAGCACTCAGCTTGCAGAGAAAACTGATGCCAACCTTGCTGAAGTCTCATTCCCCCCTTTTATTCCCCCACCTGCCTGTATCTAACTATTATCTCTTTCTAGTTATGCCCCTTCTCAATTTTCTTTTCGAGGCTAAACAAAGCCAGTTCTTTCAAGCTTACCTCATAGCTCATGTTTTCTAAACCCTTCATCATTTTTGTTGCTTTTCTCTGGTCCCATCCAGTTTCTACACATCTTTCTTGAAATGTGGTGCCCAGAACTGGACACAATACTCTGACTGAGGCCTAATCAGTGCAGAGTAGAGCAAAAGAATTACTTCTCATGTCTTGCTCACAACACTCCTGTTAATGCATCCAGAATCATGTTTGCTTTTTTTGTTAATGCATCAAGAATCATGTTTGCAACACTGTCGACTCATATTTAGCTTGTGGTCCACTATGAACTCCAGTTCCTTTTCTGCAGTTCTCCTTCCCACACAGTCATTTCCCATTTTGTATGTGTGAAACCGATTGATCCTCCCTAAGTGGAGGACTTTGCATTTGTCCTTATTGAACTTCATCCTGTTTACATCAGACCATTTCTCCAGTTCGTCCAGACATTTTGATGATCTGGACAAAACCTCTCCTCCAAAGCACTTGCAACGCTACTATAAGGTGGATGCATAAATGGTTGGATAACCATTCCTAGAGAGTAGTTATCAGTGGTTCACAGTCATGCTGGAGGAGTATAAAATGGGATTATGAAGGGATCCATTTTGGGACTGGTTTTGTTCAATGTCTTCATCAGTGATTTAAATAATGGTATAGAGAATATACTTATAGAGTCTGCAGATGATACCAAGCTGGGAGGTTTGGAAGCAGTGTTCCCTCTAAGCTGCAGGGCAGCACAGCTTCACAGGTGATTAATCAGCTGATTAATCACCTGTGAAGCTGTGCTGCCCTGCAGCTTAGAGGGAACACTGCTTCCAAACCTCCCAGCTTGGTATCATCTGCAGACTCTATAAGTATATTCTCTATACCATTATTTAAATCACTGATGAAGACATTGAACAAAACCAGTCCCAAAATGGATCCCTTCATAATCCCATTTTATACTCCTCCAGCATGACTGTGAACCACTGATAACTACTCTCTAGGAATGGTTATCCAACCATTTATGCATCCACCTTATAGTAGCCTCATCTAGGTTGTATTTCCCTAGTTTATTACTGAGAAGGTCATGCAAACTATATTAAATGCTTTACTAAAGTCCAGGTATACCACATCTACCACTTCCCCGTTTTTCACAAGGCTTGTTGTCCTATAAAAGAAAGCCATCAGGTTGGTTTGTTCTTTACAAATCCATGCTGTTATTTATCACCTTATTATTTTCTAGTTATTTGCAGATGAATTACTTAATTATTTGCTACATTATCTTTCCTGGCACAGACGTTGAACTGACTGCTCAGTAGTTTCCTGGGTTGTCCTTATTTCCCTTTTTATAGATGGGCACCATATTTGCCCTTTTCCATTCTTCTGGAATGTCATTCATCTTCCATGACTTTTCAAAGATAATAGTTAAAAGCTTAGATATCTCCTCAAGTATCCTTGAGTATTCTGGTATACATTCCATCAGGCCACGGTGACTTGAAGACGTGTCTAATTTTTAACTTGTTCTTTTCCTATTTTAACTTCTGAACCTACCTTATGTTCACCAGCATTCATATGTTAGGTGTTCAACCACTGCTAACATTTTTGGTGAAAGCCAAAACAAATAAGTCATTAAGTACCTCTCCTTTTCCACATTTTCTGATATTGTTTTTCCCTCTTCATTGAGTAGCAGTCCTTCCCTGTCCTTGGTCCTCCTTTTGCTTTTAATATATTTGTAGAATGTTTTCTTGTTATCCTTTGTGTCTCTAGGTAGTTTGAACTAGTTTTATGCCTTTGCATTTCTAATTTTCTCTCTGCATACTTTTTTTTATTTATATTCATCCTTTGTAACTTAGCTTCAACACTTTTTGTAGGACTCCTTTTTGTATTTTAGATCATTCAAGATCTCCCAGTTAAGCCAGGGTAGTCTCTTGTCATACTTTGTCTTTCCTGCATAGGGGAATAGTTTGCTCTTGTACCTTTAATAATGCCTCTTTGAAAAACTGCCAACTGCCTTCAATTGTTTTTCCTTAGACTTGCTTCCCATGGGATCTTACCTACAAACTTCCTGAGTTTTCTAAGTCTGCCTTCTTGATATCCATTGTCTTTATTTTGCTGTTCTTCCTCCTACCGTTCCTTAAAATCATGCACTCTATCATTTCATGATCACTTTCACCCAAGCTGCCTTCCACTTTCAAATTCTCAACCAGTTCCTTCCCATTTGTTAAAATCATATCTAGAACAACTCCCACCCCACCCACCCATAGCTTTTTCCACCTTCTGAAATGAAAAAAAAAAATGTTTCCAATACATTTCAAGAACTTTTTGGATAATCTGTGCCTTGCTATGTTATTTTCCCAAGAGATGTCTGGATAGTTGAAGTCCCCCATCACCACCAATTCCTGTGCTTTGAATGATTTTGTTAGTTCTTCAAAAAAAGCTTCATCCTCTTCTTCCTGGTTAGGCAGTTTGTAATAGACCTCTACCATGACATCATCCTTGTTTTTTTTTACCTCTTTTAACCATACCCAGAGACTCTCAACAAGTCTATCTCCTATGTCCATCTCAATTTCAGTCTAAGTGGATACATTTTTAATACATAAGGCAACATCTCCCTTTTTCCCTGCCTGTCCTTCCTGAGCAAGCTGTACCCTTCTAAACCAATATGTGCATTATTGTTCATCATAGTGTGGCATGTGAAGTTTTGATCAACAGCCAGTATAATCATTGCAGAATGTATGCATGGATAATGTTGAAGATGTGTATCTACATTGAAAATTATATTCTGAAGATTTGCAAGTTGGGGCAGATCACCAGGAGACAACAAACATGGGACATGTTCCTTTCAGGCCAGCAGTAACAAACACTCAACTCTGTCTGGCCATATTTTGTCTGTCTTTTCATGGATGTCTGCTTGCACACAAGTCAGATACCAGTGGAAAGATGGTGAAATCTACAGGAAAAAAAAATATGGAAAAAACAGCAAGTTGTGTCCTATTTCCGACTAATGAAAAAGGGCTGTTAGGATAGATCTAGGGGTACAAGGAAGCACACAGGGTTGTTCATGGAAGAGGCAAGATGACAGCACATGTGTGCATGAAAGTGGGATCAGTCTCGGGGGACTCAGGAGGAGCATCGCTAGAATGCATGGCGGCTAGAATGTT